AGAGAGAGAGAGAATAAAACCCCCTCTCTGGGTCTGTTTTCAGCCTGAAACCGACAGACATAGGGGGTTGTGCTAACATTCTAAGGGCCTTGCAAGCCCTGAAATCACCCAAATTGGCTTAATTTGAGAACTCAGGCGGGCCCCCTACTTCCTGGCACTCCAGCTTCCAAACATGAAGTTAGACTGGATCGGATGCACTCGGGAACACTTCCCTGCCTGAAAACTCACTCTGCTGCATTCACCGGGCCCCGCCCTCTCCGACCTCAGTCTCCCTGCATGCAAAATGGGAAGACTGAGGCTAGGCCGCTATTCTTGATTACACGTTCGTCCATCTCTAAGTTCCCCGAGACTGGGTGCCCTGAGAGAGCCCCCCTGCCCTCTCCTGCCTCAGTTTCCCCGCCTCGGGCCGACGGACAGGACTCCAGGCCCGGAATGCACGCTCGACCCGCATAGCTCCTGCCCCAGCGCCCGCCCCAACAGCCTTTGACGGCCGCATCCCTTGCCTCCCGGTGAGATCTCGCCACCATCCTGCCCTCACCATGGTATCGGCGGGGACTGGGCACGCCGGCCACTTCCGCCGCCACCGCTCTCGCGCCCGCCGGTAGCCGAAACGCCGCGCGCCACTAGGCTAAAATGGAGTGGCAGCAACGTGAGCCAGTCAGCACGGGGCTTAAGGGAAAGGCAGCTAATCCACGCGGAGTAGGGCGGGGCCTGCTAGGCACAAGGGGCGGTGTGGGCCGCGTTTGTGCAGGGAATAAGGGGGGAGCCGTAAAGTGCCGCACTGAGTGATGCAAAAAGGAGGCGGAGCAACGTGAAACGGCGCAGGAAGCTTGTGGGTAAGGACGCATGCGCAAGTGAAACCTTAGCTCAACTGGACTTCACGCTGTGGGCAAATGTGATTATTTCTGCCAGTTTGTAAATGTAGAAATGGAGGCTTAATGGTTATTAGGAAGTGACTTTGGGCTCCTACTCTTCTGATTCTCATTATTAGAGTTGATCCCTGTCTCAGATACATATTTTGGTAAGTTGGAATCTTGGCTATGCTCCTCTGAGCCTTAGTTTGCTCTTCTGTAAAATGAGTGCAATGATAGTGTTTGCTCTAGAACAGGGGTCAACAAACTTTTGAGATGGAAGAGATGTCAGGGGTCTGCAAACTGCGGCTTGTGAGCCTCAAGTGAAATTGAAAAGGAAAATAAAACTATCATAGTTTCACTTATAACATTTTTAAAGAATATTATTCGCATAATGGTGATTATGTAAAAATATATTTATGGCTTTCAAATAAGTTTTAAATTGTTGTGAGGGACAGGATTGGCTCTTCCAGGGGTCGGCAAACTTTTGAGACGAACGTACCCAAAGAGCTGCATGTGGCTCTTGAGCCCCAGTTTGCCGACCCCTCCTCTAGAGGGTTGCAGTGAGACGATTTAAACCATGTGAAAGCACTTTGGACGGCATCTGGCACATACTAAGCATTTAATGCACAAGTGTGCAATAAATATTTATTGAGCACCTATTATGTGCCTGCTCTTAGAAACACAAGTGTACAAACCTGACAAAACAGACCCTCCTCAGGCTTAGGAGCCCTTTGGAGAGACAGACAGTAAACAAAATAAATAAGCGTATGTACTGGTTTCCTTGGGCTGCTGTAACCAACTACCTCAAACAGGGTGCCTTAAAACAATAGAACTTGATTCAAAAGTCTGAAATCAAGATGCCAGCAGGGTTGGTTCCTACAGAAGATTGTGAGAGACAGACAGTTCAGCCCATGCCCTTACTCGTAGGCTTTTGCTAGTTGTTGGTAATTCTTGTAGTTTCTTGGCTTGTAGACAACACTCCAATCTCTGTCTCTCTCTTTGCATGGCTTTCTTCTCTGTGTCGGTCTTAATCTTCCTCTCTTTTCTGTTACAAGGACACTCCTTTCTCTTAAGAGACCCACTCTAAATCCAGAATAATGTCATCTCGAGATCCTTAATTACATTTGCAAGGACTTTATTTTAAATACGGTCATATTCACAGGTACTGGGGCTTAGAGCTTACCATGTTATGTTAGGGCATATCTTTTTAACCAGGGCTACTGTGTAGATTGATCAAATGTGGAACCCATATGAAGTACAAGGCACCCATTACCCCTTACCAACAGTTGTCCTTCATGTCTTAGTTTGGGGTCACTCCCTCCCCCAGAAGCCAGATCCTGAGATGAGGACTCAAGAGTACGTAGTGTACGTAGAGGGTGACTCCTGGAAGCCCCCATTGGGGGTGGAAACCTGACACAGGGAGGAAAGTATTCCTGTTGGGGGCACCAATGGGTAGGTGGTGCAAAAGGCAACTGGGGGTCAGTCCAGCTGGGGACCTCAGGGAGAAACATAAGAACTCGTGTTTCATCATGGTCTCATCCATGGTCAGGGCAGCTGGGGCGTTTATTCTCTAAGTCCCATCTATCATCAGCTCAGGGCTGCTCCCAGGGGAGCTGGCAAGGTCTGGGATGTGTGCAGGACGCTGGTAGGTGGCCAACGGTGATGTGATAACTGGGTTAGAGGGATCAGGGTGACCAGCCAAGGCTTGTTTGTCCAGGGTAAAGGCCACTTGATGTAAACAACAGAAACTGGAATACAGGATATGTCTCCTTATTAATATGGTGGTGGAAGTAGGAAGAAAATCTTGTGATTTTCTGACTTTTCTAGACTTTTCTATGTGCAGAGACTTTCTCCTTTTGCCCAACTGGCAAACTCCCGTTTATCCTTGAAAACTCTGCTTGGGTGACCCCTTGTGGTGGATTCTGGTAACTGCGTTTTTTGTCAGCCCTTTCAACATAGAGATGGCCAATCAGAGTTCTCTGTCCTCCTGACCATGGTGATTGGTTAAACGAATAACACGTGACTAACCAGGGCCAATTAGAATCTCCTTTGAGATAGGGCTAGGAGGGAGAAGAGTGCTTTCCATGGAGCTTGATTAAAAATGAGATGATGAAATAGTGAGATATTCCTGTTTAGTGAAATAGTGAGGTTTACAAGTGAGAAAGTGTAAGCCCAGTGCCATCAGGATCCAACATACACAAGAATCCAACATACACAAGAGCTACTCAGTGGACAGGGATGAATGGTTTGAGCCCCTGGATCCAGCTATACCTGAAACCATTAGATCTCACTTTCCACTTATATGAGCCCAAGAAGTAGTTCTTTATTGCTTAATCCACTTAGAGTTTGGACTCTGTCCCTGGCAGGTGTCATAACCTGCACTACTGTATAGCTACTCAATGAACTCGTCAATGGCTGACCCCCCAAATCAAATCATTCCCTCTCTTATACTTTGAACTTCAGTACCTTGCACGGATTTTCATCATTACCCAGTTTGCGACACATTGTAATTGCTCATTTGCACACTTAGGCTTTCTGGATTCTGACTTGTTAGGAGCAAAACATTGAGAGGTTGCTTGGGCCACTATTTGAGGCAGTCAGAATAGCTCTTCCTCTCCCCTTATCATAGACACATGACCCAGGCTCAACCAATTAGAAGACTTCCCTGGGATGATGCTGGAATTTTAGAGCTGGGTTAGTGTGAATCAGGTACAGTCATGGCCATCTCTTCACCTCAGAGTCTTGGCCCTGTTTAATCCTGGATCCAGTTGTACCTGATGCTTCATAAATCCTTATCCTTCCCTATCCCTTGTACTAATACTATGTTTTAAATTCCAGTTTAAATTGTATTTCTGACAGCAGAAACTTAAAGAATGGGGACCAATGTACCTATCAAATTCACAAAAATACTCTACCCTTCGCTAAAAAAAAAAAAAAATAGAGCAAGTTTGTGGTGAAACCAGTTGACATATATTTCCTTTTAAGTGGCATTATGAAAAAAATTGGCATTATGTCTCAAAATCCATAAAAGTGTCATGCCCTTTCTGAAAATTTATACTGAGGTCTTGCAAATGAAAGAACCACTCCATGCCGAGGCCTCGCAGCAATGTTGCCAATTTTAAAATAGCAGAAAGAACATAAAGGTCTGACAGCAGTGGATTGAGTGAGTAAGCTATAATTCATCCACTAGACAGAATATTTTTCATTCATTAAAAATTATATGTAAGGCTGGCCGAATGGTGCGTTGGTTAAGAGTTGGCTTGGGACACCAGCTCTGAGCAGCAGGGCTCTGGTCTGGATCCCACATTAGGGCCGGTGATGCTGCGCCCTCTACAGCTAAGATGGTGAACAACAGCTCAACCTGGAGCTGGGCTGCCATGAGTCTCCGGCAATGGCGTAGGCTGCAGTGGAGCTGCAGTGGACTCCCGTAAGCTACCATGAGCGGCCGGCAGCCGGCATGAGCTGCCAGGAGCTGCCGTGAGCATCCGTCCAGTGACCGGCGACCGATCTGCCTCACCCGGGAAGAGCGCAATGATAATACTGACATGGGCCAGTGAAGTGACATCCTCCACAACTAGACTGAA